GGGGGGATCCAAGCCGGGCTTTCTTGATTTTTTCATTTCAAAAAAATTGCACAAAAAGAGCCGTGGAACTGCTTTGCATACTGACCAGTGACAGTTCTGCTAATAATTCTCAGCTTTAATTCCAGTCCTGCAGAAAAAAATTATTTTTCCTTAAGTGAAATTCTTGCAGCAGAACCGCTTGACCCATACAAGTAATAAATGTGTAGAGTTTTTTTCCTTAATAAAATGTGTGAACATTTCAGTATGTTTTTTTTCCTGTCTGTTGAGTAATCTAACCTGCCTCTTTTAATTTTAACTACGAAAATTAATTCATACTTTCCAGCATGGCAACAGCGAAATGACATATAAACTCTGTGAGACCATACAGGATATGTTGTTTATTTGAAGGATAAAACTTCTATCACTATAAACATGTTGTTGTACCTGCAATATTTTTTTTTCCCATCTGACAGCAAGGGAGCATGCAATCCTTGGCTGAGATTGGATTTATTTTAAATACATATTTCCTGCCTAGTATGAGCCCATCAAATGTGTGATGACCGAGGTTATATTAGGTACAAATTCATGGCTTGTTGAATTGTTATTTATTGAATAGAGGCTGAGAGGCTGGATTCAACAAGGTGGGTATTTAAATGTAATGATAATCAGTCACTTTTATGTGAGATGGGCAGCTATATAAATATAGATAGATGGATGATAGATTGATTGATAGATGATCCATAAAGTTCTGTACTGGATGTATATTTCAAGGCCATTTCTAGATTAGAGGCACCTAGCAGAGAAGGCGGGGGGGGGGAGTTAAATAAAATGTAGGGATAGACACAACCACTCTTTTTTTACACGCATTGCGTGGCTGTGGCCACCATATTGGTTGGGAAGTTGGGAAAAAAATCTAGAAGAAGGCCATACCAACCTCCTTCTGATAATGTTGTCAAGAAAACTCCCTGGGCATGTCCGGATAGCCCCCACAAGGTGAGCTTGGCTGAAGGGCCTTTTATTTCTTGTTACAGGTAGAGTGCGATGGGAGGAGGTGCTCTGCCCAGGTTTCCTTCTCCAAACCTTTTAAGGGCTCTTAAAAGACAGGGAAAAGCCCCCTGGACAGGCGTGTCTGGGAGGAGCGGGGGAGGGGGTTAGGATCGGTTCAAAAGCCGCGGTCTAAAGTCCGGCTCCAGCGCGGCCGCCCCCGACTCCATCCGTCTGCCTCTGGCGGTCTCTACGTCGCACAGGCTCGTCTCGTGGTTTAGTCTTCGCGCGTAAGGACAACTTTGCCCGTCGAGTTTCGACTTCGATGCGCGATCGCGTGTCCCGACCACACACTAATGAGGGGGCAGCACCAGCCGCCCCCGGGCCTCCGCCCCCTTGGCCCCGGCCCCTCTGGCTCCCCTGCATAAAACCTGCAAGCCGCCAGTGCGACTGTCTACTCTGGTTCCTGCGGACACGGACGCTCCGTCCAGCGCCATGGCCGAGGCGCCGCTCCTACTGCTCCTGCTGCAGGCGTTGCTGGCCGGCGCCGGCGCCGCCACCGCCGCCGC